ACAGAGCTGTGATGATGTCATCAGAGCTTTGATCTCATCAAGGGGAGTCGAGATGTACTCTGAGCTAGCACTGTCTAGAAGACGTCTACGTTTGAGACACGGATTTCTCAACTCTCAGCAATAAGAGGAAGAACTTTGGTTTTTATCAGCTTTAAGCGATAAGAAGAAGAAGGACTTTGATCATCACTGAGTGGAAATCAATATGCAGAACTACGGAGAACCACAAACCTTCAGCCAAAGAGAGCAAGGAGGCCGCCAGGCGATCCACCAGGCCCTCCCACAAGTAGGCCTGGGGGTTCACCAACAGGCCCCCTACCACCAAGAAGAGCAGGCAAGCCCTCCCCTTTGGACGCCAACTTCGTGGGACCAAATTGATAAACTGAACTTGCGGCTGACAAGGGAGAGGGGTGTGAGGAAAAAGCAGCAAGAACTAATTGAGGCCCTCAAGGGCGAAATACGAGAACTGCAGCATAAGGTGAAGCTAGAGAGATGTGAAGGCTGTGAGAGTGTCTTTTTGCAGCAGAACATGGGTTATTACTCTGATAAAACCAAAGAGGAGCTCATGGGTGTGATTTCTGCACAAAATGACATAATCATTGAAAAGAACACACCGACAACCCTGACGCCTGTGGACATCAGCAAAATGACCAGAGCGGAGCTCTCCCGTGCGAACACCAGCCTAACCCGTGCTAACACCAGCCTAGCCCTTCAGATGCAGGGTGTAATGACTGTGCTGAAGGCACAGGAGGCCGCCAATAAAGCCTTAGAGCAAGAAATGGCAGAGCTAAAAAAGTGCTACATCGGTGAGATGGCAGCAGCGCCTTTCAGTTTGGAGGAGAAGGCTTATGATGCACAAGAAATGGCTGGAGTGCAAGAACTTCAAGATCAGGTCGCATCTCTGAAAAAGAAGCTTGATGATGAAAGACAGAGGGCCTCTACCCTCCAACAAGAACAGGAGGAAATGAGGAGCATGTTTGAAGAGAAGATCAGTAAGGACAGGGAGCAAGTTCAGAGGCTGAATGCTGAGAAACTTTCTCTGGAAGAACAGGTGAAGAAACTGCAAGAACTGCAGCTGGATGAGAGAATGGAGAAAGAAAAGGACATCCTGAAGACCACAGTGGATGATCTGCTACAGGAGACATCCAAACTTGAAGATCAGGAGGGGACAAGCAATGTCATCTGCGAAGAAGATGATCCTGATACAGTCAAGGAGACAGCTGAGATGGAGGGCATCTCTCTGTGGAGGAGGTTCAAAAAGAGTGTGACTCCCAAACATCGCCGCCAATACAAGAGGCAGAGGCAGATGCAGCGGCAGGACTGAAAATCCCTGGCTCCTTGCCCAACTAAACTACTAAAAACTTTACAAGAAAAATAAAAAAACAAAGAAAAAAAAAAACAAAGAAAAAAAAGAACTTTAATAAAATAAAAATTAGCAAAAAAGAGCAAAACAAAACAAAACAAAAAAAATGCCAAAAAAAAACAAAGAAAAAAAAATACAAAAAATTGGAAATAAAAAAATTGAAACAAAATGAAATAATCTAATTTTTTTAAATCTGCCAAATTGCAGAAAAAAAATGAAAAAAAAAAACAACCAAAAAAAAAAAAATAAATAAATAAATAAAAGAAATGGCAAAAAAAAACATAGAAAAAAAATGGAAATTAAAAAAAAAAAAAAAAAATTTAACTCCGCCAAATTGCAGAAAAAAAGGAAAAAAAAAACAACCAAAAAAAATACATAAATAAAAAATTGGAAAAAAAAAACAAAAAAAAAATTGGAAATAAAAAATTGAAAATAAAATAAAATAAAAATTTTTACTCCGCCAAATTCAAAAAAAAAAAATTAGAAAAAAACCAACCCTAAAAAAAAATTTGAAAAAAAAAACAACCAAAAAAAAAAAATTTAAAAAAAATTGGAAAAAAAAAAAAAAAATTTAACTCCGCCAAATTGTCTCAATTGGGACATTTTTGCCGGTCCCAAGCCCGGGTTAAGGAGGAGGGTTTTGCGACATTCAAAAAAACCAAACAAACAAACAAAAAAACCCAAACAAACAAAAAAAAAGAAAAAACAAGAATTGACAGATGACAGTTTGATTTTAGTTCTAAACATATTTCAGGTGTAAACATGTTTTCGGGTGTAAAAAGGCCATGACTCCTAAACATTGCCACCAATGCAAGAGGCAGAGGCCGGACTGACAAACCCTGGCTCCTTGTTTTACTTCAAAAACAAAAAAATTGCAATAAAAAAAAGGTTAAAACTTGGAAAAAATTGCAAAAAAACTCCAAAAAAAAAAGTTAAAAACTTGGAAAAAATTGCAAAAGAATTGCAAAAAAAAAAGATAAATCTTGGAAAAAATTGCAAAAAACGAAAACACTTTATTTTTCTCTACATAAATGGGCTCTTCTCTCAACTGTTGAATGGGCAGTCAGGAAGTGTTAAAATTTGGTTCATTAAGAACCTGTAAAGTTAAAAGCTCATATACTGTTTTGGGATTTACGACCAATCTGGAACATTAACTTTGAAAGTGTTTGGTTTGTTTATTATGTCTTGTATGTCTGAAAAACCCTGGCTCCTTGCTATACCTAAAAAAAGTAAAACAAACTGCATAGACAAAAAAAAAAAAAAAATTCTCAAATGAGTATTTTTCTCTGCAAAATTGTTATTGCTTGATGGCTCTTCTCTCAACTGTTGAATGGGCAGTCAGGAAGTATAAGGGTTCATGATTAATCTGTACAGTTAAATGGAATGACATGTTTGTTTACCTGAGCACAGGACTGTACAGAAACTTAGTGCAGTGACATGTTGAGGAGAGACTTGCTGGTGACAAAAACAACTAGATCAGCATTTGAAAGAAGTACTTTGTCAGTTTAATTTGATATTATAGCTGCTTCGACCAACAGCAGGGGTTTAATGATATTCAAAAGGACTTGTTGCAATCCTGCTGAATTTGGTTAAAGAAGGGATCACCTTTGTTTGAAGGTGTTGAGTTTGTCTTGTCATACCCACAGGTATCATTGTTGGTCACTAACATATGATTTAGTTTAAACTACAGGGCATGGTGTAAGAGAGGAGGAAGGATCTCTTCTTGTGATTGTAGCTGTTTTTGATTCACACGCAGAAACAATAAGGAGATTATTTATATTGAACACTTTTTTCGTGTTTGAGCTGTATTTATGGTTTTTAAGATTTAATTTTCTGTATCTTTGATGCTTTTGGGGTAAAAAAAAATATACTAAGAAAAGATTTGTGTTAAAAGGTTTAGTTTTAGGTAGTGAAGAGGTTTTGCTGCTGTATTGATTTAACTCATTGTGTCCTCAGCCTACAGTATCTGTTCAAGAGGGAAGTTCTTAGGGGAAAATAAATATGCAAGCAACGGTGTGACAAGAAAAGTCATAACATTGCATTTTTCTATCTTTTAGAGTTGTAAATAATACAAATTCAGGCATTTTATCACCCAGGAGTAAAAACATGTCTTAACAAGATTTAATTAAAGATATGTTTCATGCTAAGTGCTGAAGTGGCATAAAACATAATTTTACATGAGACAGTTTATATGCTATGTGGTTTTCTTGGTTTACTGTGTTTGCTCTTATTCTGGGGATTACTTTAAAGAGGACTTAAGTACACAGAGAAAAGCAATCAAGGCTGGGATGTTAAATTCAAACCAATATAGTATTCAAAAATTTCATTCTGAAAATATGCTCAAAAAACTTTAAATCCTGGGCAGAAACTCTAGAAAACCCAGCCACATGCTGCATTTTTGGATGATTGCTATTGTAAACACACAAAGCTAATATTCAGATGCTTTAACAATTGAGTTTGTTTACATTGGTAAGTGTGTTTTGCTTTTTGGAAATAGGAGCATGAATCCTAATATTGTGTCCAGGACAGCATTTTTGTATTCAGCTGTTGGGAGTAGAGTTTCTGCTAAGTGTCACGGGTGTTGTTGTTGTTGTTTTTTTTTTCATTATAGAGGGGACAGAGTCTACACACATGTAAAAAGAAAACAGAATGCATATACTTATTTTTGTAACTACACTTCACAGTCTATTGGTTCTGCTGGGTATTTATTTTGGTTATTCACAGTCTCGGTTTTGGTGAGAAGTTTCTACAAAACGGAAAATAAACTTTTCTCCATCAAAGATTCTGGGAAAAAGTGTGTTACTTTGATTTAAAAAACTTTGAAATAAAAAACAAAAAAACAAGCTGGGACTGTTTTTATAAAATGGTGTCAAAAACTGAATTAAGTGGTTTGAAATCCACCCCTCACTATTTAAAGCTTTAGTGAGGAACTTTTGTTTTTTTTGGCACCCCACCATAGACGGGCTCAAAACCCCATGAAATTTGGCAGGTGGGTAAGGACCGGCTTTAACTAGCATATTTTGCTGTGCCCATGTATATATGAACAAAAAATGCTTGGGGAGTTTCCTGTATAACTTCCTGTTTACTGGTTCTACCTCTGCCAGATTTCAATCATTTGAGAATGCTCCAGCATCAAACAATTTGACACCAAACTTACATCCGTATGTTGCAGTGCCACCTGGTGGCAGAGGGGAATGCATTTTTCGGTTAATGGTCTGTAACTCCTTCTTTATTAATGGGATGCAGCTGAGATTTGTTCAGGACACACCTGATGGGGTACCACAGCGGCAAGAAAACCAGCACCATGTTTCCTTTAACTGTGCCTAGGTGGCGCTATGAAATGTCTCAAAAAAAAAAAAAAGTATATGTATTACAATCTGTAATATTGCTATAGATATGCACAGCCACATAAAATTGGTACGCAGCAATAAAAGTACAACACCAAACAACACTTTGACAAAATACCACTTGCCTTCATTTCATGAAAAACAGCTGTTGTTTAATCACCACTGATCAGCACTGGGTCAGCTGTATTGCGGCCATTTTATCCATATTTGGTTGAAAGGCAGTAAAGAGATCATTGGAAATTCAAATCAAAACAATTTTAAATAAAAACAAAACAAAACAAAACAAACAAAAAAATGATGAAAATCATCACAGCTCTGATGACATCACAGAGCTGTGATGTCATCACAGAGCTGTGATGTCATCACAGAGCTGTGATGATGTCATCAGAGCTTTGATCTCATCAAGGGGAGTCGAGATGTACTCTGAGCTAGCACTGTCTACGTTTGAGACACAGATTTCTCAACTCTCAGCAATAAGAGGAAGAACTTTGGTTTTTATCAGCTTTAAGCGATAAGAAGAAGAAGGACTTTGATCATCCCTGAGTCAAGAGTTACTCTGAGTTAGCATTGTCTAGAAGACTAGTCTACGTTTGAGACGCGGATTTATCAACCCTCAACGATAAGAGGAAGAACTTTGGTTTTTTATCAGCTTTAAGCGATAAGAAGAAGAAGGACTTTGATCATCCCTGAGTGGAAATCAATAATGCAGAACTACGGAGAACCACAAACCTTCAGCCAAAGAGAGCAAGGAGGCCGCCAGGCGATCCACCAGGCCCTCCCACAAGTAGGCCTGGGGGTTCACCAACAGGCCCCCTACCACCAAGAAGAGCAGGCAAGCCCTCCCCTTTGGACGCCAACTTCGTGGGACCAAATTGATAAGCTGAACTTGCGGCTGACAAGGGAGAGGGGTGTGAGGAAAAAGCAGCAAGAACTAATTGAGGCCCTCAAGGGCGAAATACGAGAACTGCAGCATAAGGTGAAGCTAGAGAGATGTGAAGGCTGTGAGAGTGTCTTTTTGCAGCAGAACATGGGTTATTACTCTGATAAAACCAAAGAGGAGCTCATGGGTGTGATTTCTGCACAAAATGACATAATCATTGAAAAGAACACACCGACAACCCTGACGCCTGTGGACATCAGCAAAATGACCAGAGCGGAGCTCTCCCGTGCGAACACCAGCCTAACCCGTGCTAACACCAGCCTAGCCCTTCAGATGCAGGGTGTAATGACTGTGCTGAAGGCACAGGAGGCCGCCAATAAAGCCTTGGAGCAAGAAATGGCAGAGCTAAAAAAGTGCTACATCGGTGAGATGGCAGCAGCGCCTTTCAGTTTGGAGGAGAAGGCTTATGATGCACAAGAAATGGCTGGAGTGCAAGAACTTCAAGATCAGGTCGCATCTCTGAAAAAGAAGCTTGATGATGAAAGACAGAGGGCCTCTACCCTCCAACAAGAACAGGAGGAAATGAGGAGCATGTTTGAAGAGAAGATCAGTAAGGACAGGGAGCAAGTTCAGAGGCTGAATGCTGAGAAACTTTCTCTGGAAGAACAGGTGAAGAAACTGCAAGAACTGCAGCTGGATGAGAGAATGGAGAAAGAAAAGGACATCCTGAAGACCACAGTGGATGATCTGCTACAGGAGACATCCAAACTTGAAGATCAGGAGGGGACAAGCAATGTCATCTGCGAAGAAGATGATCCTGATACAGTCAAGGAGACAGCTGAGATGGAGGGCATCTCTCTGTGGAGGAGGTTCAAAAAGAGTGTGACTCCCAAACATCGCCGCCAATTCAAGAGGCAGAGGCAGATGCAGTGGCAGGACTGAAAATCCCTGGCTCCTTGCCCAACTAAACTACTAAAAACTTTGCAAGAAAAATAAAAAAACAAAGAAAAAAAAAACAAAGAAAAAAAAGAACTTTAATAAAATAAAAATTAGCAAAAAAGAGCAAAACAAAACAAAACAAAAAAAATTGCCAAAAAAACCAAAGAAAAAAAATACAAAAAATTGGAAATAAAAAATTGAAACAAAAGAAATAATATACATTTTTTAACTCTGCCAAATTGCAGAAAAAAATGAAAAAAAACAACCAAAAAAAAAAACAAATAAAAAAAATTGAAAAAAAAACAACCAAAAAAAATAAAAAAAAAATGGAAAAAACTTTGGAAAAAAATTGGAAAAAAAATAAAAAATTTTAACTCCGCCAAATTGTCTCAATTGGGACATTTTTGCCGGTCCCAAGCCCGGGTTAAGGAGGAGGGTTTTGCGACATCCAAAATAAAAACAAAACAAAACAAACAAACAAAAAAAAAACAAACAAACAAACAAAAAAGAAAAAACAAGAATTGACAGATGACAGTTTGGTTTTAGTTCTAAACATATTTCAGGTGTAAACATGTTTTCGGGTGTAAAAAGGCCATGACTCCTAAACATTGCCACCAATACAAGAGTCAGAGGCCGGACTGAAAAACCCTGGCTCCTTGTTTTACTTCAAAAACAAAAAAAAATTGCAATAAAAAAAAGATAAAAACTTTGAAAAAAATTGCAAAAAACAAAAACACTTTCTTTTTCTCTACATAAATGGGCTCTTCTCTCAACTGTTGAATGGGCAGTCAGGAAGTGTTAAAATTTGGTTCATTAAGAACCTATAAAGTTAAAAGCTCACATACTGTTTTGGGATTCACGATCAATCTGGAACATTAACTTTGAAAGTGTTTGGTTTGTTTATTATGTCTTGTATGTCTGAAAAACCCTGGCTCCTTGCTATACCTAAAAAAAAAAAACAAATTGCATAGAAAAAAAAAAAAAATTCTCTGCAAAAATGTTATTGCTTGATGGCTCTTCTCTCAACTGTTGAATAGGCAGTCAGGAAGTATAAGGGTTCATTAATAAACTGTACAGTTAAATGCTCACAAGCTGTTTTGGGTTTCACAATCAATCCTGAATATTATCTTTTAAAGTGTCTTTTCGTCTCTCAAAGAGCTGCAGTCAGCTTGCAAGCAGTTTACTCGTAGTTATTTTACTGTCTGTTTTATCATGGTGTACATGACCATTATGAACCCCAGGTATTATTTTCAGCACAATATCAATATATACTTTATATTTTTATTCAATATAAAACAATTATCATCAATACTGGTATACCGTGACAGCCCTTATGGGACTAATCTTTTTAACGCCCGATGAAAGGTGTATTAGGGTTACGTTAATGGCTTTTGAATGCTCCACTTGCTGTTTATAACGCTACATTTCACTGGTTTAACTATGTCTTGCCTTGTTACCTCTCCATGTATGTTGCTGATTCAATTTTACTTTGGGATGAGTTTGTGCATTATTTTCTGTTAATTAGCATAAAACATTCATAGTCAGCCGGAAATGGGGTATTCGACTTATTTAAATATCTGCAAAATTCAGAGTACATATGACCAAACCCTAAGATTATCTTTACTTACGGACCAATAGGTTTTTATTTTTGACAGATCCTCCCCATGTAAACTCCTATTTGCGCATTTTCCTTATGTATTTGAGACTTACTACTAAGGTAGTTTACCACCACCAAAAGTGTGACTGTGTGAGCGAATGAATGATGTATCCAATGTAAAGCGCTTTGAGGGTCTCTGATAAAGCGCTATATGAAATCTGATGCATTATTAAGTGGAAATGCTGATTAAGCATTTCCACTTATTGTTATTCCTGTCGGCCATTTTTCTTTATTATTATTATTATTATTAAGTGGAAATGCTGATTAAGCATTTCCACTTTTTGTTATTCTCCTGTTTCTTTAATCTTATTTTTATTCTTCCGCCGTTTTTTGTCGCGCTTCTCCTCCTTCAAACTTTGTCCGATTTCAACCATTCAAACTTTAAACTATTCCACTCCTTCAGGACATGTGTGCTTGTATTTTTTACCTTTCTACCTTTTATACTTTTTGTGCAAAAATTTTAACATTGAAGTCAATGGGGAAATCTTCCACTTCTTCCTTTTATTCTTCCACCTTCTAGACCTTATAACTTCAGCATACTTTCACTTAGAGACCTCATTTTTGCTTTAAAATGTTTATTCACTTGTCGACTATTAAAGTTGTACTCAGTTTTTTGATATCTCTTACAGTTTTTCCACAATTTAGCTTTAAGCAACTTGTGGTTTTCAGCAAATTTTCAGGCTTTATAATGGGTGTGTATTGGAGAGTTTAGAGTGATGATGTCATCAGCTAGAGTGCAGACCTCGTCTCTGATCGACAGAACCTCGCTCGAATATATCGCTCCCACGCCCACAAATCTCACTCCACTGACACAAATAATACATCAAAATGGAGGTATATGTGTCCTGCTTCTCACAAAAGAGGTTTCAAATCATTAAATCGTACCCCTTGGCCAGCAGGTGACCAACTGTCCAAGGAAGACGGAAATCTCTCCCATTGACCATAATGTTATTTTTCTCCAAGAAAATCCGGATCATCGCTCAGGCTCAGACTTTTTTAACTCGCTGTTGTGGCCTCATTTTTCGAAGTACAGACATGAAAAACACATCATTGTGTTCATGAAGGACGGAGGATTCGTACGATGTTCTTATTTTCATTCTGGGACTTAAGGAAATCACGCTATGTGAAGAAGTTCACAGGCTGAAATTCACTGCAGTTCAGCACCTCTCAGTCAAACAGTAGGTTAGTGATTTGCCTTTGATCTCACAGCTGTTTAGGATGCAGTCATTAACGAGACACACACACACACACACACACACACACACACACACACACACACACACACGCACACACATTCTTGTACTTGTTGCTTTTTGAGGTCCACCTTGCAGTTCAGCTGCTTGTACACACAGCTAATATGTGTCTGCTTCACCACCTATCTCCACCCACAAACTTTGAGCTACAGAAACCATTCTGGGCTTCAAAAATTCAGCTCATTGAAGATATTATGGGGTGTTTTGAGGATTGTGATAATAAATTGTATTAGTGTGTTCAGCAGAGTCTTGTGTTCTCACAAGCTCCTTATCATTAATATATACATAGGATGAGCGTCAAGGCCTACTTGGAGCCCTGTTTCCTTAGCTTCAATTTTTTCTCCTGCTATAGTTATGCATCCAAGGTCCCCATGGCAACAAATTAGTCCATCTGGAGACACACAGCTGACTGGAAAGCTGCTTCTGATGGCCATATGAGACACATGAAGCCAGGCTCAGTACACATAGCACTTGGGATGACACTTAAAACCCTTTCCTAGAGCGCTTGAAAAAACTTCAGCCCCTATCTCCTCACATGACCTTTGACCTACAGAAACCATTCAGGGCTTTAAAATTTATGCTCATTAAGGACATTATGGGGTGTATTCATGATTTATATTCATTTAAATTTTCACTTTTATAAGTCACTCAGTGATGATTTATCATTTAATTTTTCAAACTAATTTAAACTCATTCAAACTGATACAAACCTTTCTAATACTTAAAAACCATTTGATACTTGAGGATTTTTCATTATTTAAATTTTCCCTGTTTTAAATTAGTTTTAATATTTATGCATTACTCCATCCTTCAAACAAAATCCTACCTCAAGTACGACAACTACTGCTAATGTCAATTAAACTAGTACTTTCCCCTCTACTTCAACTGCTATTGCTCCTATTTCTACTTTCTCTACTGCTGCTACTGCTACTATTGTTACTTTCTTTACTACTTTGACTTATACTTCTTTTATTCTCAAACTACTTCTACTGCTGACATGACTACAAGTATCACTACTTTACTTCTTATCATACTACTTCTAGTACTACAACTTAAACTTATGCCACTTCTCACCTTCCTGCCTTTAAAGGCAGTTTCCTTCTTCATTCAAACTTTGTGCAATTTTAGACCTTTTTCTAGCCTCTTTCAGCATGAATCAAATTTCCTTTTATAGAGCATATTCATACTATTTGTCCTTCAACCAATTAATCCATTATCCAACTTATATTTCTTTTTCACCCCTTCAACAGCTTTAACATTTATACCTTTCTCCATGTTTTATTAGCAGTTTAGCATTGCTTTTTCAGCTTTCAGCACTCAGCATTTCCACACATTTTCTGCAAGGAAATGCAATTTTTCTAGTTATTATTATTCTTCCGCCAATTTTCGTCCACTTCTAACTCCTTCCTGCTTTGTGCTATTTAAACCGTTCAAACTTTAAACTATTCCACTCCTTCAGGACATGAGGGCTCGTACTTTTTACCTTTCTACCCTTTATACTTTTTGTTTTTTTTTACTTTTTGTGCAAAAATTTTAACATTGAAGTCAATGGGGAAATCTTCCAATTCTTCCTTTTCTTCTTCCACCTTCTAAACCTTAAAACTTCAGCATACTTTCACCTAGAGACCTCATTTTTGCTTTAAAATGTTCATTCACTTGTCGACTATTAAACTTGTATACACATTTTTGATATCTCCTACAGTTTTTCCACAATTTAGCTTTAAGCAACTCCTGGTTTTCAGCAAATTTCAGGTTTTATAATGGGTGTGTATTGGAGAGGCTAGAGTGATGATGTCATCGCTAGAGTGGACAGCTCCCCTTTTTTCGACAGAACCTCGCTCGAATATATCGCTCCCACGCCCACAAATCTCACTCCAGAGCCATAAATAATACATCAAAATGGAGGTATATGTGTCCTGCTTCTCACAAAAGAGGTTTCAAATCATTAAATCGTACCCCTTGGCCAGCAGGTGACCAACTGTCCAAGGAAAGCGGAAATCTCTCCCATTGACCGTCATGTTATTTTTCTCCAAGAAAATCTGGATCATCGCTCAGGCTCAGACTTTTTTAACTCGCTGTTGTGGCCTCATTTTTCGAAGTACAGACATGAAAAACACATCATTGTGTTCATGAAGGACGGAGGATTCGTACGATGTTCTTATTTTCAATCTGGGACTTAAGGAAATCACGCTATGTGAAGAAGTTTAGAGCCTCTAAATCCTCTGCAGTTCAGCTGCTTCTCATTCAAACAGTAGGTCAGTGATTTGCCTTTGATCTCACAGCTGTTTAGGATGCAGTCATTAACGAGACACACACACACACACACACACACACACACACATTCTTGTACTTGTTGCTTTATGAGGTCTACCTTGCAGTTCAGCTGCTTGTACACACAGTTAATATGTGTCTGCTTCGCCACCTATCTCCACCCACAAACTTTGAGCTACAGAAACCATTCTGGGCTTCTAAAATTCAGCTCATTGAAGATATTATGGGGTGTTTTGAGGATTGTGATAATAAATTGTATTAATGTGTTTAGCAGAGTCTTGTGTTCTCACAAGCTCCTTATCAGGAATAGATACAGAGGATGAGCGTCAGGGCCTACTTGGAGTCCTGTTTCCTTAGCTTCAAGCCTTCTTTCTCCTGCTATAGTTATGCATCCAAGGTCCCCATGGCAACCAATTAGTGCACCTGGAGACACACAGCTGACTGGAAAGCTGCTTCTAATGGCCACATGAGACACATGAAGCCAGGCTCAGCACACATAGCACTGGGGATGACACTTAAAACCCTTTACTAGAGCGCTTGAAAAAACTTCAGCCCCTATCTCCTCACATGACCTTTGACCTACAGAAACCATTCAGGGCTTTAAAATTTAAGCTCATTGAGGACATTATAGGGTGTATTCAGAATTTAAATTCATTTAAATTTTTCAAATTTTAAAGTCACTCAGTGATGATTTATTAATTAATTTGTAAACTCATTTAAACTCATTAAATCTTACTGATACTTGAGGATTTTGAATTATTTAAATTTTCCCTGTTTAAAATTAGTTTTAATATTTATGCATTATTCCATCATTCAAACAAAATCCCACCTCTAGAGCTACAACTACTGCTAATGTCAATTAAATGAGTACTTTCCCCTCTACTTCAACTGTTATTGTTCCTTTTTCTACTTTCTCTACTGCTGCTATTGCTACTATTTCTACTTTCTCTACTACTTTGACTCATACTTCTTTTATTCTAAACCTACTTCTACAGCTTACATGACTACTAGTATCACTACTTGACTTCTTATCATACTACTTCTAGTACTACAACTTAAACTTATGCCACTTCTCACCTTCCTGCCTTTTAAGGCAATTTCCTTCTTCATTCAAACTTTGTGCAATTTTAGACCTTTTTCTAGCCTCTTTCAGCATGAATCAAATTTCCTTTTATAGCGCATATTCATACTATTTGTCCATTAACCAATTAAACAATTATACAACTTATATTTCTTTTTTACCCCTTCAACAGCTTTAACATTGATACCTTTCTCCATGTTTTATTAGCAGTTTAGCATTGCTTTTTCAGCTTTCAGCACTCAGCATTTCCACGCATTTTCTGCAAGGAAATGCAATTTTTCTAGTTATTATTAACATCTGCTGAATTGTAAGCTTTATTACCTCCGCCAAGGAGGTTATGTTTTTGGTAGCGTTGGTTTGTTTGTTTGTTTGTTTGTCTGTTAGCAACTTTACGGAGAATGTTACAGACAGAGTGACCTGAAATTTTCACCAGAGGTGCATCTCAGCCCCAGGAGGATCCCATTACATTTTGGTGGTGATCCGGATCGCTTACAAATATTGCATAATAAATCATGCATTTATGTATCTAATATGAGCTTTGTTGTTTTAGGAACATTATGAACAGTGAACATACCAGTTTAACCTTTGACACCTCATAAAACTCATTGAGATTATTTTGTGTAATTTTTTACTAAAGACTGGCCATTTTTATAGAGTTAAATGCAAAAATGCCAAAATTTGCCCTATCTCACAATAAAGAATCCTTCAAAAAATTCCTGGATCCAGAAGGCGATCCGGATCACCACCAAAATGTAATGGGATTCTCCTGGGGCTGAGACGCACCTCTGGTGAAAATTTCAGGTCAATCCGTCCGTAACTTTCTCCGTAAAGTTGCTAACAGACAAACAAACAAACAAACAAACCAACGCTACCAAAAACATAACCTCCTTGGCAGAGGTAAATATATGCACATACACTAGTTAGAGACAAAACTATGATTGCCTTGATGTAATGATCCGAAATATGAAAAATGGCTCATCTTACCCCACTCTCCCCTATAAAAGCTATATAAAAGCTTCTGGTGACCTCTCTCCCTCACACCCACTGCGCCTGACCAGCTTTGCACCATTAATTTAGTTTGAGCTTATGTTAGTGCTCTCTTCAACACCCCCTCACTACACTATGTTCACACACTCACATGCACACTACTGATTTTGCAGATTCGACATACCTCATACTTATCCATTTTTTATCCATTTATTCATCTTAATTCGTAATAAATCTCATTTACTTTTGGCACTGTGGTTTCTGACCATCTTTTTGTCATGGCTCGCAAGTCGGTTTAAGACATCTATCCAGGCTAAGTCAATCACACTCAGAACTCAAACACTGGTTTATTGCATGTATTTATTGTCCGGGTACCTTAAAACGGTAACCATGCTAGTTTGTGAACAGAAACAGGTCCAGGGTACTGAATGTGCTGCTGGCTGATGACAATTTAAGTTGTACATATTTACATAGAAAAAAGTGAAATAGTGACAAACATTACAACAACAAAATAAACTTTCAACACAATGATAATTTAAAAAAAGAAAAGAAGAAGAAAAAAACTAAACAAAAAACATATCTGAAGCAAATCCCTGGTAATGATGTCCCCACATTTGTCTGGAAGTCACACTGCAGACATGTTTAGCTTAGTAATAAAGGCACTCTGATGTTCATTTTATACATGTAATTGATCTTAAATAAGGGAACTTTTGTGGTTTTCACAGTAGGAATTATAACTGATTCGATACTCCATTTCAGAAGAAACTAACAAAAATAAAGATAATACATACAGCATTTAACCTGACGATTAAATCAAAAATATAATTTAACAGGAAAAGGAGCAAAGGAGGCAAACGCACTAAATATATTAAACTGGTTTAAATTAGGAATCTACAAAAGGCAGCTTCAGAAACAGCATTAAAAACAGGACATATATTCCCCACACGTTTTCTCACATATACAGCACTCTGGTTTCAAGGTTGGCTCATCTTTCTGCCTATTGTCCTAAAACAAAAAAGGCTGTCACTGTGGCACATTCGTCACTATGGCCTCCTGCACAGTGAGGAGGTTCAGGGAGACAGAGAATACAGTGGCCTTGATTGTTAACGTCATGTAGCTTCTTCGGCTGAGTCTGTGCCATGACTTTTCATTTCAGTGCAAAAAAAAAAAAAAAAAGAAAAATTAAATTACACTCTCCGATAGAGATTTAGACTTTTCTTATTGTTGTAGCAACAACAAGACAAAACTACACTTCCCAAAGCTTAAATATTTTAAAATAAATTATATATTCATACATAACGAGGACGACAAAGTGCTGCCAAAACATAAGAGGAATATCAGTATGACTGGGGATCTCAAGAGTGTGCCTACATCTACCTTTTTTTGTCTTTGGTGTAACGTGATCTGTTCAAAGTAGATCATTTGCACTAAACAACTCTTTTCTGCCAGGCACAGGATAGAGCTGTGATAATCTGGAGAAGGCTACAGGTCTCCAGCTCTTTGTGAACACATTGCTTAACTGAACAGCGATGGTGACTCTTGGGGATTACAGAAATCTGCATGTAAAGACGTATACTGGGGAGGAAAAAAACAAAATAAAACATGTTATTTAGATGTTTTTATCATTTCAGTGTCTGTCCAATAAGTAATATACTTAACTCTTCCGCGCACTAACTACAAAAAGCACTTGCAGTGTGTTTGAAAATGCTTGTACCTTTTAAAGCTCAAGCACATCAACTTTTTGACAGTATTCTGACGACATTCAGCGGCCTTGTCATTCAAACGCTGTGAAGTGACCTCTCTACAATGTGAGCGTGACGGCTACAGCTGTTCCTGCCTCACCGACTAACCTCTGAAGCTGAAATGAGTCTTTAAACTTAGAAAATAAAACCTGGAATATTTTGAGAGTAATATTTTTGAGTGATTTAAAGTAAATTGGCAGAGTGGCTCTCAAAGGGTTATTAATTTCCACATTTTCACTGGCACTGACCACTTTAAGAAAGAGGTCATTAACCATCAGGATTAATGATTAAAGGTGGAGGGCTGAGGATTATTCAAATGGACCTTTAATAGCTTAAAAGCCTCCTACATTTCAAACATCTGTCTGACGCTGACTGGGCTAATTGAAATAAATGCACAGTTTTTATTTTGATCATGGTAACAACACCAAATACGAATTTGCATAGATATTCATTTAAATTTTAAACTGTATCTTTTTAACAGTTTTATTGCTCCTACTGTTTCATGGCAGCATTTAAAAAAAAACAAAAAAACTTCAACTAGGGTCAAAATAAATACAGTAGAAGACTGTACATCAACAAAGCCATTGGCTACATTGTATGAAGCCCACAAAGTCCCATAAAATGATCATTTTAGTCTATTTAAGCTATAAAATTATTGTCTTGTTAATGTCCGATTATCATTTTTTCTGCACAAGTCAGTTTCCTTTGTAATTTCAAGAGCATTGCAATGGCACTGTTATTTTTTGGTGCTTTCTTTTCTGATACACCTTAATTTGACACTCAATGCTGCTTCATCTGTTCATGTGTCGGTCTTTATGCAGCTGCTGTTTGAGAGCCCAATTCAACTCACTGACAGGACCTGCAGTGTAACATCAGGTAGGCTGTCACTCCAATAGAGCCCTGTGGACAACCTCGGACATGTGAGGCACTTTCTGTGGTGTAAAAGCGCACTGATGAAAAATCAAACACATGTGGCAGGGACATGATTTCTAAATAGAGATGTGATCAGTTTTAATCATCACAGATTTCCACAACTCCATAAACAGATCCAAATTGATTTTGAATCAGGGGTGGGAATCACTAGTGGCCCCACCATACGATATTATCACCATACTTGGGCCATGATATAATATTATTGCGATTTTTGACATTATTCAACACAGTGAGTATTGCAATACCATATATTGCAATTTATACAAGTTTTCAACTGTTTAGCTAATTCAGAATTTGGCTTTCCTTTGTTTGTCTTATTTACACAGTATCTTATTTTCATGTAGCACATCTTGCAGACCTTGATTATATTTGTTGTATTTGTTTCTCCTACTCCATGACCTCACCTCTGCCAACCTCACTGGACAAACAGTTGATTTTAATTTTCCATTATCATAGATTTGACTTCATATTAGCAATTAATTTAAAAAAATGGATACTTGGTAAATGAGCCATACGATATACCACCAGACAAAATATTGCGATACTACGCTGTATTGATTTTTTCTCCCACCCCTACTAACTTATAGAAATTATGTTGTATTATAGCAAGCTACTCCAAAATTAATATGTTTATAAAACTGTTTCCAAGCATTTAATTTAGCTTCATGTCTAAAAAAGTGGCTGTGAGAGACTTCAAGTGCTCCTTGGCTCATCTGAGTAATTTTTTATCTTGTGCACGGATAAAAATGTTCATCTTTGCAGGACTTTAGGGGCTACGTAAAATTTCATACAAAGACCAAAAAAATAAACAGCCTGTATTATTAGCAGTAATACCACAGCTTTTGTGGTAAATACATATTTTTTTTAATTTGTGATGTTTAATAAAGGTTAAGAAAGCGTCAGACAGGAAACAGCTCCTTTAAGGCTTACATTTTTGCTGATGTTAGATTGTCTTATTTGCTGTATTTTGAAGAAGTCCAACAACGTTTCAATCTTAAAATGACCTTCAATTCTCTCAAACTTGGTCAAAAATCACCCAAACTCTTTTTTTTAAAGTTCTGCTTTAACAGCATTAGGTTATAAAACTGGGCTGCATCTGGATTTGTTGCTCCAGAACCTCATGTTGAATCCTATGATGAGAAGAAGTCAGTAGTATAAAACACAAAGAAAGTGCAGCCTGACTGAGTGCCTCAAAACTAAGTACTGGCAATTTAAGGGTTAAAATACAAATAGCACAAACATCAGAGTCCAAAGGGCTCTTAGCGTCGATTAAAACAAACTCAGCCCTATAAAGGATTTTGATCGTCTCCAACATGGGGGGGCACAGGATTAAAAATAAGCATTTTAAATACTTAAATAGATATAAAATTTTGTTATCTTTTAGCACAAACCGTACACTTCTGGTACCATTAGGTATAAAAATTAGGTGAAGTTACTTAGAGAGGAGAACCTCTGTTAGACCATATCAAAAATATGTCGCTTTAGTAGCACTTTTGTTCTTCATCAACCTACTTCACTCACATGCTACATTACGCTCCACAGAAGTGATTGAGGTCTTTTTTTTGTCTTCTAGTCCAACATCACCCCAGTGGTGCTACCAAGCCTCAAGCCCACGAGTCATCCTCTCTAAACACTCTGCTCTTCAACTTCTCGTCTCTGCTGCCTCATATTCTCCTCCCCTCTGCTTCTTCTTGTGGTTTCCATCTCAACACACTTCCTCTTCACCATCCAATCACTCCTTCGCCGATCGCTCCCTGACTTTTCGACTGCTCTCTCTGCAACTTGCTCGCTTCAATCGATTCGTTCCACTTTCCCGATAATCTTCTCCTCAAAGATGGGCAAGATGGCATCATCTTCTCGTATTTCTTCAAACACCACCCCGCAGTCAAACTCATCGCTCACCTTCTTGAAGTAATACCTGAAATGAACAAAGTCTCCATGTTAATCCAGCAGACACTTACAACTTTTAAAGCATTGCCACGTTTCCTCTTTTCTGGAATAGACTCTAACAAGTACCTGTAATTTCCTTTCTTTGTTAGCAGTTCTTTGAACTGGCCCAGTGTGACCACTCTCCCTTTAACTGATGTCCTGTATGGTATCAGCTCCTCACAGAAGTAATACGCCACGGTGATGTTCTCACATGGCAGCTTTTTAGTGGCTTTATGTCTGTAAAGAGAAGAAAAAAAAAATGCATAACGAGCTTCATTCACTTTTCAAAGCTGTGTGAAAAATAAAAAAGGGTCTAAGGGGACTGACATTATCAACACACTCGTGAATGAGGATGCTGATTTTGCAGATGGCTGACAGCGACTACGCTGATTCACAAATTACAAACACATGAATGAAATGTAAAACCAGTCATACAAAAAGAGATGAATGGCACTTGTGTGTCTGTATAATATGAGCAACTCTCACATTACATCAGATAACTACAACATCTGTCAAGATGAACTAAGCAATTTACATATCCAGCAGGGATGCAGACTGGAAGATCAACTGAAACTCATAAGAACTTTTTGCAGAAACCCTGTGCAGCTATTTGAGGACAAGTTGTGTTTCAAAGGAGATATTTGTGTAAAGTACTTAAATGCACTACAAGGGAGCAAGAGAAACCAAACTATTGAATAAAAAGCCAATCTAGCATAACCTAACACGATCTTACATCAATAGATATTTGTGAACTCAAGGAATCTTTACTACGGAGCCCGGGAGGTGAAATTAACTTTTTTTTTATAATTCGCACGTGCGGTTTATTATATCACAGGTGCCATTTTACTGTTCGTTCATAAACAAAAATCACTTCTAGCAAGTCCGAATACCGCTGACGGCAAAGTCACTGTGCTTTAAGGATCCTGATACGATGTCTCCTACTCAAAACAAAACCAGATGTGGCTAAGCTATGGAGTATCTCTTTGTGAGTCATACCTAAATGAAAGAAAATGTTGATAATATGCTCTCTGTCCATGACACTGTCCTTGATAATAATAAAACACACATACGAGGTATGTATAAAACACACATTTGAGATACTAAAAACCACATGCATCATAATAAAACGCAAATGCAAGATCCTAAATCGCAAGTGCAAATTAAAAAAAATAAAAGTTCATGTCACTCCCGGGCTCCATTCATTACCACCGAGGAGACCGGGTCATCCTTAATTCTTAATCAATTCACACCATATTGAACAAGCAGCAGGACAGGCTGCGTCTTTAGCTGACAGTGTATTTGGGCGGTGGAAAACTAAAAAGGATACTCATTTATGAGGGGTAGGATGCAACACAAGATGATAAACAGCACAAAAGAGGAATTCAGGGAGAAGAAATTGCTCATCACTGCTTTTTCTCGTCTCCCTCAGCGGCTCAACAAAAGCACATTTCTGGGGGGGTGAGGTGGGCTGCCTTTGAATGAGGAGTTTGAGGATGTTGTGAAAATAACTAGAAGGACACAGTGGACATACTCAAGCTCGGAGAGCTCGCTGTCAGAGACGGCGGGCACCACGCTGAGCGGAGGGAACAGCGGAGGCCTGACTGCGGTGCGACCCCTCTGGATCACCTCCATCACATACCTGAGGGACCGGACAACCCCAGCAGTTAGACAAAGACCTAAACTGAGGAGCACAGAAGCTAAAGAACAAAAGGGTGACTGTTCTGTTTCAGCTAAATACAGGATCTATCTCCCTTCTTCTCCTTTAGACACACTCATCCTCTTTATGTGATATACTCATCAATATAGACCACCCCTCTTACCTCTGCTTGGGCTGTAAAGTTCCACTCTTGATCTTCTCCTCCTCAAGCCGCCGTCGCACCTCCTCGAGCTGGATGAGGGGGCTTGGAGCTGGGTTGGGGGGCATGGTGGGATCCTGGACGAAAGGGTGAGACGGCTGCACATTGTTTCTCAGTTGGGGGTTGATGCAGGGGTGCACGGGCCCTGATCGCTCCACAGAACCAAGACGGGTTCCCTCATGGGCTGCGGTCCTCTTGGATCCAGTGGTACTTCTGTAAATAACGTCAATCGATTTATATAAACAATATGCACTTGTTAATGAAGAGGAAAACATGCTGGTTCTTGATAAAGCTAAAGGTCAACACCGACCCATACGGGCTCCTCTTATGTTGAACCATTTCTTTCTGTCCTTCCATCAGCCACAGGAGGATCTTCTGGTTTTTCTCCATCTCCTCTGGAGGCGCTGGCATGTCATATGTTCGACCTTCTTCACTTTTCTTGACGGCTCTTTTGCACTGAGAGCCTCCTTTGCTACTGTGCAGTGAAAGAAAGCTGGTTAGTAGAGAAACCAGATTTAGATTAAGTAACAACAAAGACACAGGGTTCCTATGCTAGTATGGAAAGTATGGAAATGAATTTGATCCATTTCCAGCTCTTAAAAAGTATTGAAAATGAAAAATAAAGGATGGAAAAATATTTATGTTTCCAGACTATAACAACAGTTCTAAAATACCGTTTTCAAAAAGACAAAAGTCGGTATTTCCAAAAATAATTCTAAAAAGTAGGGTATGGAAAAGTATGGAAATTCCAACTGTGAAAGAACCCTGAAGACACTCTCACTTTCAGCTGCATACCTGTACCCTGTGTACTCCATAGGAGTTGATCCCATGCCGTCTGCATAAGCACGGGACTTGGACCCACAATGGCTAGAATCCATGCTCCAGGGAAAACTGCTGTGCACACGTACTGCGGCCTCAGCCTCCACCTGGTCTTTGGGCTTCCCAATGCCAGTATGATGGATGTGGTGGATGTGTTTGTGGTGGTGCAGGTGGCTGCTCTCCCCCTTCAGGCCATGTCTGGATGGATGTTTACCCTGACCAGAAGGCAGTCCTATCCCTTTGCCTCCTGGGAAACCGTCTGGAGAGCGAGACTTAGGAGAGTGGCGGCCTGTGCCTGGGGACTGGCAGCCAGGAGTCTTCATCACTCGCTGGACGTGGTCGTCCAAGATGCTTTCAGGGTTTTCCTCATGAGAGTCTCCCATCATAGGAGCAGTGTAGGTGAAGTCAGCATAGCGGGAGTTGTAGTTCTGCGAATAAGCACCAGGGGGGAACCTGTGACTGGGTAATGCTGCAGTGGTGGGCATAAATTCATCACCCTCCTCTTCCTGTACAGCATAAAAAAACACAAAATACAAACATTGATTCGAGGCAAAATTCCGAACTGGAACCAAACCAAGAAAAATACATTCAAACTCCTCACTCACTTTACACATTATAGGATTTTTCTGTATCACTGCAACAGATAATTCAACCTGTAGATGGCAGATTTTGTCCATGAGTGTACTCAGTCATAATGCAGAGGTTTGGAGTTCAAACTATGAATGCAATACTATGTGTTACATAAATGGGGACTGCTGTAGGAATAAAAAAATAAAAAGTTAAATAGTACAAGGACAAGTCAAGTCACGTGGTTCTATTTCCAATCAAGCTAAGTGGGTGTTATGACCCAAAATATAAACAACCATATTCTACTTTACTTTTCATAGTAAAAGCACTGAAACATATGAACATGTTTCCGCGACTGACTCCCCCAGACATTATTACTGCTACAATTATCAGTGTTTTCTATAACACCGTAGTGTGGAGTTGCAGTATTGGCAGTCAGTCTTTAAACTAGGAAGTTTAAAAGCCACAGCCTGGATCTTTAAATCATCCCTGGACCCTGACCCACACCGGGGCTTACTTGCTTTGCAGCCCTGCATTTGCACAGGCGTTGGGCTGCATGATGAGTGTACCTGTAAATATACCTGATGATGCACTATGTGTCTTAAAGGAGGATACTGCTGGAGGGCACACCACAAAGTCATGCGCAACCACAACATTTGCAGAGCAGAGTCAAAAAACACAGAAGTTACTGTTGGTTTTAAGCTCTATTGAGTGATTAATTCTTGACTCAGCTGCTGATGACCGGTTGACGGATCACCATTGGCAACGCCCCCACATTTTTCTGATGTTTTCCCCTAGTGCTCAGACGTCAGAGTCTGGCTTGTTTCAATTAGGTTTTACAAAACTGAACCCATCCCAAATACGCATCAGTCAGATGAGCAAGATACCTGCTTCTACCTCTGCACCTTGAATCTAGACAACATCAATCTTGGAGGACTTCCAAAGCTGCTGCATCAAACCAGTGCTGGGGTTGTGTGTCAGCCATCATGCATTTGCAAACCCACCGTACAAGTTTACCCGATTGCTGTGCTCTCCCATCTAGTGATGGGCACTGCAGTTCTTTAAGATGTACTGAATCACTAGAATCAGTTCACTAAAAAGATTCGTTTGCCGAAACACAGGACCATTCAGCGCTTTGCACACTACTTGTTACATGCTATGTCCTACTGTATGCAAGTTGTTGTGGCGGCAATTTAGCAGAGTTAAAAAAAAAAAAAAGTTGGTTTTGTTCGAGGTGCATTTGAACACAACACATCCCTATCTTCCTCCATCACTCCAGTCAAGAGCTTGCTGCAGCTGGTCTCATTCTCTTCTCATGACTGCCAGCCTACCAGCCAGCAACATTTTAAGGTTGTTTAATCATGAACTAAATCTGTTAAAGAAAAATGGGGAACAACAGTCGTCATGAAAATGTATCCTTTGGGCATAAATGATTCCAGAGTGTGTAGTTCACTGCGTGATTTGTTCACCAAGAGATTCAGGCGTCAGAATGTATGGTCCCTCGCTCGCCGGTTGCTCGCCCGGCAATGCTTGAGCTATGGAAGCTTTGCTGCTGACAGCCCAACTGAAGTGAGAAACTAACAAATCACTTGAGGTAGTGATTCAGTTCAATTCAGTTCGGTTCAGTACGTTCACTTAAAAGATTTGGTTCTCCCATCCCTGTGGCTGTATAGGAGTTGAGGAAAGTGAATGTCCTTCAACCAAATATGTATGTTTAAATTAAATAACCAACCAAAAAATGTGTTTAAATATGTAATGATGGTTCTGTTTAGGCAGAGCATGAGCCTATCACTGGTATTCAAACCAGCCTACCACCCACCCCTATATCACTCCATGCACTCTGAATCAATTCAACTAAACGCAATACTCTTCCACTGCACACATAATGCATTATTGCGTTTAGTTTCAGATTAAAAAACTGTCCCAAACCACCATGAGAAACTGGTTTTAGAGCAGCTGTAGAAGTTAGAAACACTCTGCAACGCTTTTCGCTGTCGTGTGTTCTGCATAAAGTTAGAAACACTTTGGCAGAGAGAGAAAAGAGGCGCGAGAATAAAGAGATGGAGTGGAAAGACAACAGTAGAAAGGGGTTTCACTTTCATCTTTTAGCCAGCTCATGCCCACACTTTTTTTTTATGGCGGTTGTGTAAATAATTAAATAAAGCTTCAATAAACATTCAGTGGAAATGCCATACTGACTGAGCTGCCCTGTGCTCACCATCCCCTTTGCTATAAATGTATCAAAGAAGACAGAAAAGAGTCTCTCAACCTGCGGTGCCTACTGCTTTCTTGAATTTATCGATTCTGTAAAGGGTTGCTATGTGCAGCCAAATATCTGTTGGCATGTTTTAAAACTTTTATAATCCTCTGTATCTCTACACAAGATCCAAAAATCTGTGCTTACTGAGCCCACAGGAAGCTATTTATGGAACCATGACATCTTAATTGGAGCACATTTCAACACCGGATCCCTCGACGCCAGCAGGTATCTGACATCCTGCAGGATAGCTTGAGTGGAGAAAAAGGGTTAAGTGATGAGTGTTCTTGTTGAGAGTGATAAACTAAACGGTAGCGTGCTTAGTTTTTCTCTGAAGAGCAAATAAAAAACAATCAGAGAAGTGGAGCTCTTCAGTCTCTCTGCCATTTGTTTACTTTTGTGAACAGCATGTCGCCACTCTTGTTTTAGTGATTTATCCTCTGCGAAGCTCAAACACAAGGTCCAATGTTGTAAAATGTACACTAAAGGAGGCTTTTATTTCCTTCTTAGCAGACTGTGATAAAAAAGCTAAAATTCAAGCTTCTTTTCTTGACGGGATATTGTGTCTCCACATAAGGACAGTCATTTCATGCCCGCCTCCAGGTTTAATAAAGCAAACCTCCAGCCGTGTGATGGCAGCTTCTCTCTCTCTAGGTCCAAACCACGTAAATTGTCTGCCTTGAGACTTAATACTTGGCTCTGACTACTGAGGGAGATTTTGTTTGTGGTAGCAGCGACTATTTCATCACCGTTCAAGTGACATCAAACAGGCGGCACGCTGTTCCAGGCTTACAAGTGGCCGAGTGCGCAGGTGCTCCATCCGATTCATCGACAAAGCCAGATCGCTGACAGGCCAATGGTTGAATTCTCCAAATGATTCATATTGTGTTTTTGTTCCCCGTTCAAATGGCTAGCCTCATTAATTTCATTAAGGCCAGACGGATTTAAGTCTCCTTTGTTGCAGAAAACTTTTAGCCCAATGGCCAGACACACATCTCGCCTGTAGGCTTTAGAAGTGAGCCGCTCAGGTACCTCATACACAGTCCTGACTCTGAGACTGTCTGCTTCTCAGTCCACATTCTTGGATCATCATTTATTGAACAATCCTTTATTTCAGTGAATTCAGGTAAGAGGAAACTTGAAAGTTTACAGTAGGGGCTTTTTATTTATTTTTTATGTGGAGCAGACCTGGTTCCTGGACTAAACAAACTGCTGTAGCAAATACAGGAACCCGCTCTGGAACAACGTCCTCTGGAGAAAAATTTTCCACTATTTTCTGTTACTTATCCCATTTATCTGAAAAATAATGGGAAGATTAAACCCACAGTGGCGATGGATGTTAACGGCAGCCCTTAACTGCCCCTACTTTAGGGATCCATACTTCAATTTTATTTCCCCCTCAGGCCAGTGATATTATTCACTTACTAAGTAAAAGCAGCTCCGAATGTCTCTGAGTCAAAAACATCTCTGTTCCTGTCCTCTCCCTGAACTCCCTCAAGATCTCATTTAGTCCACAGACATCGCTCTGCAATGTGAACCTCCGCATTAGCGTAGAAAGACAGCTTCTTATTCACACACGTTAGCCCGAATTAACCAAAACAGTGCGTGTGCTTGTGCTTCAAAACACTAGACAATGGCTGGGGAAAGAAAATGAACATACCAGTCGTACTCTCTTCAGCCGCTCCTCCAGCTTCTCCTGAGCCTCTCTCTCTCTCAGTACAGCCTCCAGTCTGCGGATCAGCTCTGCAGCAAACCTCTCTGGCTCCACATGGATATCCTTTAGTATCCGGTTCGGGGGCTGAAGGAAGAGACGTCAAACTGTGAGCAGTCTCTCTACATTTTTGCCTCTGCAGCAGCACTGTTGACAGAATATGGTCAGTCTGAAACCCAAACCCCTGATATCCTCTGAGTGACCGCATGCAGAGACGGAAACATGAGCAGGATATATTCCAGGAGACAGTGTCAAAAGGATAATGCACTGACATTACAGCTGAATACTCATGTTTATGCTCCCCCCTCTTCTTGTTTTCAGTCGCTCTGAATTGCCTTCAGCGATGTTAATGATTAAATTCAATTTGACTTGCCTGTTTAAGAAAAACACTAAGATTTTTGTCTTTTCTGCTGATGGTTAATACATGACAACACAAAATCTGTTAACCCCTGATTTGACAGAAGAAAGACAGGTTGGAAAACAAACTGGCATTCAAAAAATAACCCCCAAGCCCTGTCAATCTTTCTGACATGAAGTGCAGTCATGCTCGATTTGTTAGTGCAGGAAAACACGAGAGATATGCTCATACAGTTGATTTGTGCATCTCGATAGGAAGCTACGAGTGGAGTTTTAATTTGACTTTTTACTCTGAGGCCTAATTAGGGCCGGGTTTTCCTACCAAGAGACAGCCAGCGCTGCAAAGGGAGGCATCAGGCTGTCACAGGGGAGGAATCATGTCTGCTAGGCTTCAGCACGCACAGCTTAGGAAAGCATCAAGCTGCATTTAGACAGGCCTCTCTTTCACCATCAGCTATTCTTACACTCCATCACAGGCCCTGCGACATAGCAGAGCTTAAATATGCACATCTCAAGTGTTGGAGCGGAGGAAAAATACGGCAGACACAGACAGCTAGAAAATGAGTGTCGAGGCAGAAAGTCAGAGGAAAAAGGAAGTAACCCGTGAATAACTCACTGGAATACGAGGTAGTGACACTGGCCCGTTTACTTTGGCACTTTCCTGCATCTCCCGGCGATCTTGTCTGCGGTATCTGCAGGGTGGTACCCCATCTCTGGAATTAACGACAAAGGCATTTTCATAAAACATCCTCATGAATAAACAACACAGGCAGCTTTGAAGTGTAAAGCTTTTCCACTCCATTTTTTGCCTAAAATGAATAAGTCCTGATTAATCAGTACAGGCACTCTCACAGGTTTACTGTGGCTCGCCTGCACTACAAGTGGTCTGGCAGATTACAGCAAAATGCTAACACACCCATTAGTCTGAAACTCCATGTGGTGTTGGTCATGCTGGGTTTTACAGTCTCCTGTGCTGAAATTTCTGGACCATTTAGCTGAAATAAACTGATGCATTTAGGCTTGAAACACATTTGTGTCCAGTTGTGTGAGCTTTGAAGTTTCTGCGGGATAATACCCCTGCGCCATCTCCCTACCTATGAAATACTATCTTTTAAATCATCATTTAGAGGCACATTTCACTGAAATACAAGTCCTGTGTGTGTGTGAGTGATCCCAGATGGAAACTAATTTTTTTGGTCTCATCCCTGTGCCAAAACAGTTCTGCTTTGTTCCACCCAAATAGAGATTTGTGACTATAAAGAATCGCTTTGCACACACTGAAATCAGGTGTTTAGAGTAGGTTAGTATTTATGTTTCTGTATAAGCCGCCATGCAGAGAAGAACTAGTATCAGGTACAGAACTGGGTGCTATGAAGCCCTCATAATGTAGCAGCCTTCATGATGTGATGAGGAAATACTCACACACTGCCGTCCGTGAGAGAAATCGTGTCTTGATCACTGGACATGCTCTGCTGCTCACTATCAATGGCGCTGGTCGTAGGAGCCATATCATAAACAAACTTGGCGGGGTGCGGGTTGATGGGCTCGTGACACGGTGCATGCCTGAGGAGAAGTGAAGAAATACAGGAAAGGCTGTGAAAAACAATCAGGTCTGACACAAAGCGTGACATAATGGATGCTGTTAGAGCAAGGGAATTTGTGAATAAAGATAAGCTCATAGCTCTTCAGAGTTTTTCTGATTTATAGATAGTATTGTTTTATCACAAGAGTGTATAACATGGGCTGTGTTGGGCTTTTTCACTTTGTCATTTTCACTAATAGTCAAATGCGCTTTTATTTTAATGCTTCTTTTCTGCTACATTAAATTAAAAGACGAAAAATCAAAGCAGGATCATCAGCCGGTCTATCATGTACACAACTGCTGGCATAATCACTGTTACTTTGAGCAACATTTACCAGCATTGTGGGGAAACATGTCATTACTGTTCAAATCTTGTCCAATCAGTATTCTGGCTTTCTGGCACAATCTGAAAAATCTGTCAAAATGAGGTTAACATAACCCCAGATTTGGTTGAAAAGCCAGTTGGAGCTGATGTTCTTCACAGGTACACTTCTTGATACGGTTGACCCGATACAACTTTTTTACTTCCAATACAATACCAATATTGTAGTCTTCAGTATTGGCTGATACCAATATTGATCTGACGTAAGCACAAGCTTGTGCATGACAAGTTTATCATGCACAAACTTTGCAGCATTGCAGCCACATACTCAGCTGCAATGTCTCTTTCGGACTTCGACGAAAAATACTGCCACACGGCCGCCATCGCTCCTACTCCTTGTTACTTTGTTAGTACCTTAGTACACACTTTTGTTGTGATTACATGGGCTCTGCATGCTAGATCCAGGCGCTGCTAGATAGAGGTGCTGGAGCGGAGTCTGGAATGGACTGTTTGTATCAGAATGCTGTTATTGGAGATTGTAGATGCAAGCCGATACAATCTGAAATTTGATGATATCGGACTGATATTCGCTGATATCGGACCGATATGGGAAATCAATATTGTATCGAGACATCCCTACTTCTTGACAACACTACAAAACCGAGTGGACCACAGTGGGACATTCAGTATATGACGTGTCTGTATCTGTGACGTGTATTTCTTCAGCTGAGGAAAATGAATCAAAAGGCTCTTCTCATGAACATCCAATCCAATCCAATCAAAACCCTTTACTCTGGGGATTCATTCAACTCCACTTAACATACGTGCCAACCTTTCTGGTTAGTTACACAGCAGTTAACTGTATTCTTACATCCTTTGCCAGGACACTTAATTCAGCAGTTAAGTACTGAACTTTGGAGTTCAACTGCAGCTTCTAATCTGATGCACACTCTTCAAGAACCTCTGAAGCTATATGGAAAGGCCTCATTTGACACCTTTTACATTTCCAGTCACTGACTTTGCTGAGCGCACCTCTAACACATGAATTAAAGATGTCGGGCATCATCTCTTTTTATTCAAATTAGAATTCCCCGAAGTGCAAATCCAGAGCTTTCTCCCTGTTTGGAATGCAGAAGAACCAGGAGTTCAAAATGAAACCTTTGTGACCGACTGATTTTCATTAGCATCTTCATTCAACAACAGTGAATAATTCAAGTGCCAGGTTGGGGACGGGATGGGACAAATAAAAAGCACGGTCTGCTGGAAATGTGGCACATTTAAAGTGGTGAGAAATAAAAGAAACAAGCATGAATGGGATTGCCTTTCTTATCTTCAGTAACCTCACAGCAACAAAAAGAAGAGAAAACTGGTCTCATATCCCTCCCAGTTACAATATGATTCATGCGAGTTATTACTTGGTCTGTTTTCTAACATTCAGACTAGAAGTGCTGTGCAAAAAAAGTAAAAAAGAGAACTATTCTTTCATTAAAGTTACATGAAGAGTGAAGCCTTACCTTTAGCGTACATAACTAACACTCTGAGAACAAAACTGAGATGCCCATATTTCAAATTTCTCACCAATCATCCTTTAGTGTTTCCTTTTTCCAAGTCATTTTACCTTTTGCAGCTGATTTAGCGGTGGATTTAATATCCTTTGCTGGTTGTCTCTGAAGAGATCAGGCACATTTGATGAAAAATTTACCTTCACAAAACCCGTGGGGTGTGGTTAAAAAGACCATTTCAAAACAAAGCTTATCTGTTTGTAATTCTGCTCAAATCGTTGATTGCTGAAATAATGAGGAAACAACCTCAAACCTGGTTTTCACTCTTCGGTTTAAGCTCCTTTATTTCCTTAGATACTTTCCCACATCTTTTCTCACACATGGCTGGAACGCCTGAGGTTTTTCTTTGAGTGGATTTTTTTTGTTGCTCATATTTGAGAGATATGAAGCAAACATTGATTCCCCCCAACACACACACACACACACATACATACACGCACAAAGAATGAAACCGCCTTTGAGTGTTGTTATTAAAGATATTTTCACAATAGCAAGCTTTTAGTTCATCTTAAGTGGAGGTGATATCAAGAGAAGCTGAGAGGCAGCAGAATTTAATGAAAAATGGAAAAAAGAGGCAGAAATAGGAAAATGCAGCTAACTCGATGAGTGTGGTTACTTCACCTGCCCAAACAGTCATATTTTGTATTGTATTTACCTCCTGCTCCACCTTCAAAGGGAAGAGCCTTTTGTAACACCTTACTGCAACTAGTCAGCATCACAATTACCAACTGGATTAACAAATTACTAACATTTAATAACACACTCTCAAAATGCAGACAACAATGAAGCCTGGAGCAGAAGACACAGTGCTCTCCAATATAACAGTGCTTTTGTTCAAGTAGCGACCCTGTTAACTTGCATCTTTCAGCAGAACGGGTCTGTGGTTGTCATAGTTACAACAGCTGTTGAAACCAAAAAGAAATGTCTTCAAAGTTATGTCAAAATGTACTCATCAGCTGTCTTATAACACAAAGGGGGAAAAAAATCAGCAAGACCTCCTTTCATTTTCAACTGTTGTAACTACGGCAACCATTGACACAATGGCCAAAAGTCACCAGTTGACAGGGTCATTTTTTTTTTTTTTAGATCGCCAACATACAAGCTGCTATCTCTCTGTACCAACACCAGCTGAGAGGGTACAGCTGTCAGACTTGTGGTTAGCAGACTGAGGTCTTGACTTTGAACCAGGTAACTAGTCACCAAGTCCATCCCTGGTTTCTTTTATAAAATTAGAAACTGTATTCCCACTTTGGCGTACCCATTTTAACAAAGTTAATGAAAACATTAAAATTGTTTTAATAGTTTCTGCACCACAAAAATAAAAATAAAGACATTTTCAGAGTTTGTCAGAGTTTCCTTTGTATTCTCATCATAAGATCACTATGGCCTAACAAAAGGACCCTTCCACAGATCACTGTTGGAGATAAACACCGTATTCCTGGAACTCGTGTAACAGGAAGCTGTTAGTGTTCTGGTCCATGTATTAATCTGCTGTTTTTCTCTAATATACGTTGCCTGAGACTCTTTTCACTGCTACAGTCTTGTTTGTTCTCTCAACTTTGCCCTAGGGGATTCACCTTTTATTCTAAACGCATTGTGTTATTCATTGAAGGACTCGTTTTGTTTTCATACTTTACAGTGACTCCAGATATTACAGTATTTGAAATGAGATTAGCACTCGAACTCCCCTGTCGAGCTTGCATCAAGGAACATTTCAAGAATAATCAATAGATCTCATGATTTTATTTCATGTCAATCCTCTATTTACGATTTAACGCCATTCCATGAAGAGTTTTATAAGCAGTGGCATTGGTTAAATGGAGGTAGTCAGCAATGATTTATTTAATCTTTCATTTTCAAACACATTCAAAGCTGGAGCATGTTAAAATGCTCATTTAATTTCCATTTGTTTAATGTGATATCAGTTTCTTATTAAGGAGGATCACGGTTATGTAAACAAGCATCCATGGTCTCATTATTCTGAGCCTTTCAGAGTCAAACTGTGACTGCTCTGTCAATCCTCTGTCTAATGTATGTTAAGCTGAGCACACACAGGGTGGATTACAACCAATGCTAGCTTCAATATGATAATGAACCCTCAAACTCAACACTTTTGTTGTTTCCATGTTGGTTTTCTGGAGTCAGAATTTGCAGTATTTGAACAGGTCAGTGATTATCAAAGACTTTTCACTCCTAAACCAGTTTACTTCAACTGGCCAGCTTAATCACCAACTTCTCTACAAAGAAAAGCCAATAATAATGCTGATTCCTATACTTGTTGCCATACGCTGTACAAACCTATGTATGGCAAACAAGCTAACAAGCCAGGAACCGTGAATGCAACGATAGCTGAACATTTCGGCAGCCAAAATTATTATACTGTAGAGCTTCGATCCCTGAAGAAATGAAATATATACAGACCAACCTAGCTACATAAATTACAAAGAAAGCTGGATTATCTATGTAGCACACAAGGGGTGCCTTAAGGTTGTACTGCATTGTGGGTGACTTTCCAAGCTTTGATTTTTCAATAATTTATAAACGAAATCATCAAATTGAAGGGAATATTCTCCAATCGCACAAACACACGTCAACACGGTTTAAAACAGGCTAGTTGTAATGCAGTACTCCCACCAGATGATGGCTGTAATGCTTCTCAAAGCTGGCTGATAACTGTGTTAAACAAAAAGAGTATGATGCAGTGTAAAACTGACAGAAGAGGAATGCTAACTGCATTTAATAGCAAAAGATTAGGAAACATCAGGGATAGTTGCTCATAGACCCACAACCAGAGGGACCACTTGGCTGTAAAATGTAAACTTGCACGCCACACTGCTGAGTCAAAGAAACATCTTCACCATTTATATATTTATTTTCATTAACCTTTATTTAACTAAGAGAAAACCTCATTGAGAATTAAAATCCCCTTTTCAAGAGTGTCCTAGCCAAGACAGCAGCAGTGAGCAGAGTTTCACACATACATAAAAACAGTCATACCCATACAACATAATATATGTTGTCCATAACAGACATACAAGAATTTAAGCAGCAGCTATTTCTCAGAATTATCCAGAATTAAGAATTAATCAAAGCATTGACTTGCACCCAGATGTGCCTGACTCCAAGTCTTTCAACTGTCCCTTAAATAAAAGTATCCAATGAGGGTAGTTCACTGAGTTTCAACTCTTTCTGTAGATCATTCCAGGTAGACATCAAGGTACCACTTGAACAGATTTAAACAGTTTGTGCAATGTGGTAAACTCATCCTAAGCACAAATGTCATGAAACAAGTTATAATATATATGGTCTTAGAAATTTCTGCTTGATTCAAAAATCAATAAGGTTTTGAAAAAGTAAACAGCAGTCAAGCTAAGTGCACTTTGGCTGGAAAGCATCTCGCTGATCAAGCTTCATCAGTCTACGCTCTGAGTTTCCGAGGCAGCACACAGTATGTGGATTCTTCATTTAAACCCTAAATGTGTGAGAGGATTTAAAGCAACTTTATTCACACTGAAATAACATGGACATCGCTAAAAAGAGAAGATAGTGTAACGCTACCTGAACTAACCAAGCCTGAACTCAAAACTCTACACAGTATGGTACCCGTACAGACTCAATATGCTACAGTGGTTTAATCACCTCTCCCTAATCTTAACATTTAACTCTGTATGACTCATGTCTGGGTAACATTAAGCACATTAAACACAGCCTTAACTAAATTGAACATTATTTAAACTGAAATCTGTTTCAAATATCTAAAAGTTAAAACAAATTTAGTGTGATTTCTTTTTCAACAGAGCAAGACTCTGTCTTTGGGTTTAATACCCTTGCAGTGCAGAGCGTGATCCTGAGCAACAGTGCGCTTCTCTCTTCATGAGCAAATGTACCACTTATCCAATATCTTGTCTGGTATTTTCAAAATTAGTGTGGTGGATGAGCCCATGGTCTGCATCTGCGCAAGTAGTCTGTGTGTGTTACAAACTGCGTCAACATGTGTCTGAGTATGAGCACAAAACCACAACAGATGGCAACACAATGTGCTTATACAGCTCTCTCTCTGGATCTGCAGAGCCAGGACAAGTTCTGATCCATTATAACCGAATATCGTCCTATCACTAACCCCTGTTGTCAAGCTGAGTTAAATTTGGGAGAAGTAAAATATTGCCTTTGTGTTAATGCTTAGGAAACAAGCGCTGTGATATATTCCCACTTTTGTGGCCTAAGTATCAACAATGCAATGACAGCAACAACTTGAACAAATACTCATTTCACCCAAGTACATTTTTGCAGCTTGGTACAGAAAGCCAGACAACAGCTGTTTAAAGAATTGATACCTGTGACAATGCAAAATTATTAAAAAGGATTTCATCACAGAAGAGGAGACAGTCTGCCCTGAAAGCAGAACTAAAACAGAGGACAAGGAAGGTCAAAAAAGCTGTTACCAAGTTTAGAGTTCAAGCTCCTCCTTAGAGATAAAAACATGACTCCCACACTACCTGCACAAGGAAAAAACTACCTCTGCCTTCAAACACAGTGTAACTTCTGCAGCCTCTGACATTTCCTTTGCACCCGGTGTCAATTATCTCAGCTGTGACAGTGCTACACTTCTTCTCTGTTTTCATATCAAACTTAAGGCAGTGTTCTTGGCATTGCAGGGCTTCAGGTTTATTTTTAATTCAGCAGTCTGCAGAGAAAAGGGGAGTTTTCTAGATCACTGAGAGGATTTACCTGTACTCAGGACTGTCCTGGAATCTCGGGCTGTTAGCAATGTGTTGTGGTGCCGCCTCCATTAGCAGCTTCTGGGTCGGTCGGTTGCTAATCGTGGGTTCACACTTGGGCTGCTCCTCTGGCTCGTCGTCGTAGCTCAATTCTTTTGATTCGTTTAAAGTTGGTAAATAACCCAACAGCACTTTTCCATTTCCTGAGTCGGGGCTCTGATTGCTATACAGTTTGGGGCTTTCTCCTCCTGTCCGTGTATATTCCAAATAAATGTCCGATTTTAGAAATGAGGGATAGGTGGTTTCCTCCAACATAGTCTGTATCTCAGTCTGAGCCTGATCAAACATCGCAGGATCAATTTGGAGCTTCATGACACAGTCTTTGATGAAGGACTTAGTAGCTGGTTTGATCTGTCTGGAGACAATCCCATTGTTATCAAGGATGTATTTCCTGTAGATAGCTTTCGCCAGTTTTAGCTTCCTCTCCTCATTATTCTCATTCGCTTCAAGTTTGCGGAAGCCGCTGCATGCAAACCAGAAGTCCAACATATCTGCACACTCCTCCTGCTTTAGGAAAGTCCTAAACAGAAGGATACCATCTTGGTCATCCAGGAGAGAGTGAAGGGATTCTGCCCATTTTAGGTAGGGTGGTGTTGGGGAAGCGCTCCCCTCCGGCTCATAACCCAGGTCCAAGTCAGGTCGCCTGGGTGTAGCCACAGATGCCTCACATTTGAGGCTCTCTGTCTTTGAGGAGAAGCCAGGGTTGCTGTACTGGCGTCCACCAGTGCGCTCCTCGCCCTCACCCTCTCCTCCTGGCACTGGAGGCCTGGGAGCATTCTCAGTAAAGCTGCCTCCTTCTTCTAAATAGTCCCTTTTGTCGCTTATGCTCATAGTCCCGGCATCCACAAACCACGTCCCTGTAGAGCCCACACTGCAACACTATAAGATCCACACCTCTACTTATGCTGCTGCAAAAACACTCCTGCAAGGGGGGAAAATAGATAATGAGCTTCATCACATCACAAGTAGCACTTTTTTTTTTGATAAAGCACTACAGTGAAAACTGTTTATTCTCAGTAAATTGCTAAATAGAGGTAAAATCATAAACACAGATGATACAGGCAGAAGGGAGATTGATTTTGTGCCATTTATACCATACGCTGAGTCACAAGAGGATTAGAACCACTTGGGAGATTATCAGACTTTTGCACGGTTCCCATTTGATCAGAGCTTCATGGAAAACCTATGAATTTGCCAGTTTGAAATTATGTGCAAATCCAAAGGAATTGAAGATAAAAAAAAAAAACAACTACAAAGCTTTGAGAGCAGATTGTACTTTTAGAGTTCATCCTCATATGCAACACGTTCTGCATTCTTAGTTAGATGTGTAGCTGTTTACACTCTGAAACGAGGAATTGACTATAGCACCCTCTGGAAACTGAAGTACTATGCTGGTATGATAAACTTTCGGTAGAATTAGGAAATTCATGCAAGTGAAGGAGAAATCAACACACGAACCAATGACGCAAATACACTAAGATTAACTCCATGCATTTGACAGCAAGTGACTGCATATTTTGCATCACATGTAAGCGACACAAACATTTTTAACTAGAGCCATTACGCATGTAAAGCAGTTTTATAGTCTATAATTGTGCAGCACTGAGTCACATTCAGAGTTATGTGGGCGCGCTGTGGTAATCCAGGCCAAGAGTTGTGGCTTTAGTGCAGTCTGGCTGTGAAGCTGTTCTCCATCAGGCAATAACATGAATATGATGAAGAGTTAATGCGTCCTCTGATTTGTATGCATCAGCATATCATTACTTTACAAAGCTACTCCACATTCATCTAAATGAGTATGAGTGTTTCATCACAGTGGTGAATTCACATGAGGTTTCAAATATGAACTCATTAACAATGCAGTCTTAGTTACCCCTATTAATAGCCGATATTAGCATTATTGCAAATGATGTGCAATTGATCGTCCTTTCAAATTCTCCACCTACTCCATATCCCTGCCATCGTGGAGCATGGTCAGCTGCAGAACAGCATGCGGAAAGATTTTAGGGATTGAATGTCTAGTTCAAGGACACATCCTGGTCCTCTTGAAATGTTGCTGAGCAAAGCCACGCTGGTGCCAGTGTCTCCACCTCTACACCTGCACATAAAGCTAATGGTCAAGCTTTTAGATACAGTGTTGGGATGCCAATTTAGTGCTGACTGCTTGATATAACCGTCAAGAAGTCAGCTTTTCTAAAATTACACATTAAAGTAGAGGTCAGGCGTTCTTTACAGCTATTGGCAGGAGGTCTTAATACCTGGTTATGGCACAAACCAATGAAAACAATCAGTACGTTACATGACACTCGAGAAAACTGAATTATTGCCTTATTCAGATTAAGACAGGACAACTGAAGTGCACGTAAACACCTTAGTCTGACTATAATTGGAGTTTGAGTACTCCGATGAAGACACCTAGGTAGTGTGACTGGAATTCGATTTTCTCTACCATGTAACCGGCGTAGTCTGGGTATGATCGGACAATGCATGTACGCGTGCGCCACGCCCCCGTAATTCCTGATAAAAAAACAGCAGAGAAGAGGAGTAGCGTGCATCTAATCCGCAGAAAAAAGTAGCACGTACATCGTGTACGACAAAGGCAACGCTGTACGATGCTCCAGCTTCTTGCTCAAAAATGCCCAGCAGCAGTTGTAGCCGCTTCTGACGTCTGGCACAGACCTGCTGTTGTCGTTGACAGTAGTACGGGGTCGGAAACAGCGCCGCTGAAAAGACCCATACCGCCCCCTAGTTTTGGGGAGGAGGGCACATTCACGTAAACAATTCAATTTTCTCAGCTACGGACAAGGAGAGAAGTCCAATTTGGCGAAAAAACGAATTGTGAGCTTAGTCTGATTAAGCTGTGCATGTAAACGCACTGAGTGAGTGACTTAGAGCTGTCTGCACTTCTAAATGGTTGAGTATTTATAACATGCATTTTAAAAGTACTCTCAGTGATCTGTGCTCAAGGTTTGATTGGAGACGACCTTTTTCTATGGGTGCCATCACATTCTTTTTGAGGCACACCCACTTTCTGTTTTGTCCAATACTGATAAATCTAATTTTCGCGATTGAACAAAGACAGGAAAGAATGGGTTGGCAACAGTGCGTTCAAACCTTTAGTGAGGGCAGCACGTGCACTTTGCATAAGGGAACTGACTAATATAATAAACTCATAAAGCATGACATACGACTGCGAGCACATCCAACGGCTGTTGTATTAATCCCCTATTCATAATGTTTTGTAATTTATCCCCCGAGTCAAACCAGCGGTCCTGATGCTACAGTGTCAGCAGCAAAGATGTTCGTTTGGCGCGTGCACATTTCAATTAACGGTTCTGCGGTCACAGGTGTGTGTGGTCTGACAGCAGGATTTTTGCAATGCTCTGGCGTGATTTTAGCCGGTTGGCGTTATGCTGTAGAGGTCCCTTTTATCCCGAAACTACATCCGTTTGTTCCTCTGAAGTGAGCCTCTCATCACATTCATGTCTTGGCCTCTCCAGAATGAGCAGAACAGCAGCGGCGAGTGGGGGAGGGGAGCCAGAAACAAACTCCGTTCACACACACACATACATACACACACCACAGCCAGGCCTTTCAGCAGCCCACCGACAAGTGCACAACTTTGTCACACTACTCACCTATAAATATCTGTTCTATGCCCGCTAACAGCCGCTCAAACAAACCCAAAACATGCCGACCGCAGGCAGTTCCCCTCCCGTCAGAGGACACAGAGGGAATCCCACATCAATATCGGAACAGATTTACAACCAGCAAAGCGATGGCACATATCTCCCGACTACCGCAATCCCAATCTGAGCTGGGAGAGGAAAAAGTGACATATACTTAACCGGTGGAAATCGTCTCGCTGCTTTCGGCTGCATCGGGAAGTGGACCGGGACAGGTCACCGCTGACAGTGCCATAGCTGCGAACTGTATTACTTTAAAAATAACAAAGAAAACAGTCCGCTCTCCACCTCTCCATGGCTGTCTCTGACTGTCTGTGCGGAGCCAGCCGAGGCTACACAGACAGCAGATGATGCACAGCGCCTCGCCCGTTCACTACACAAATTACTAGTGTTGAAGGTTGGTACATGTGATGCAAAGATTTTTTCCTCCTTCATTCGAAAATCTCATATTAAAAAACTGAAAATATATAGTTGAATTATTAATTTTGTGGCAACAATCCTTCAAATGAGTATTTTTTATATGAGAAAGGCATACAATTGGATTTATTTTTTCGCATTGAGCTGATAGAAGCAAAGTTTTTAACAATGATCTCCATGACCTAAGATTTAGATGCTATATTCTGTTGTCATTTTCAAGAATAGACTCAGAAATAATAATAATAAAACAATATTTAAAAAAATGCATGGGCCACATGGCCTTTGTTATCCTTTTTTGTCAGACATATGTTTAAATAATTTTTAAAAATGCAAATTTGACCTTTGATAATATTAAACCAGTCCACTAACAGGGGCAAGCTGAGGCCCAGACTTAGTGACAATTTATTACATCGACTCCATCAGGGTCTGGACTCTGTTTAAAATGTTAATCAATACATAATTTAATGGTTTGTAAATCATTTGTAGGCTATATTTGACTGAAAATAGAGCAGCGACAGCATACCAGGGAGGAAAAATAATCTCCCAACTAACAAAACAAATTTTCAGCTAATTAGTTAAACTTCTGGATATGAAAAGGCCAGTCTAGAAATGCCAAGTCTCTCAGGAGTAAAGATGGTAAATGGTTCACCATTCTTGGAGAGACTCTGCGTGAAAACAGTTCAGCAATTTCAGAATTATTTAGACCAAGAGTCTGTACAAACGCAATAAGGTCAAAACTAGTGGATGGCCACATTATTTGGCCCCTCGGGTGGCACTGCATGAAAAACGGACAGTATAAACCATTACATTTGCTTAAAATAACATCCATTTCTAATGCATCTGAACTCAGTTTGTCACTGTGTCCACAAGTGCAGGTTACAACTGTACCAAGAGAAAACCAAACAGAAACAGAAACCTTTTTGGGACCCTTGCAACTAGGTCTAAGTCAAAGTGGAGGTTGTCCAAAGGTTACTTTACACCTATGGAAAATATCTTGTGCATCATGACACAAAAATGAGGACAAAGGAGGCCCTTAACTGTTGAGGCAAATATAGGGCGATACATCACCTCTGAAACCCAGAGACAGGTCTCTTTGGTTACAAAAGGTTTACAGATTGTTAATCAAAGAAGAACTGATATGACACTGAGTTAAACATGTCCCTGTCCTTGCAGTTTTGAAATATGTTGCTTGTATTCACCTAGCCGGTTGGGACACTTGATACTTTGGAGGCAGAAAGTCTGCAGCCTCTTTTTAGATTGCCTTTCTAAAGATGACTGATAAGGTTATAATGGTTAGTGCTTTCATCTATTCGATCAGCATGCCACAGCACAAGTTTTATCGGTCCTTTAGATGTTTTTACCGCCAGAACGTTTCTCAAGAGCAGCTGATAAGATTTCAAAGACACTCCATCAAACCTCTTTTTTTTTCTTTTTTTCTTTAGCATATAATTGACTATCAGCAGTACCGATCAGAACATTATGCTCAGTGACATTTATTTTGGTCTGTTTTCAAGACAAGATTCAATTTTTTTGTCAATATTTTTGCCAATCATAAAATGTATCTTCAGGATGAGGCATGAGTCAAGCATACAAAGCTGCAATAATTGGCCTTTATATGTTGTAAAACCAAGGTCAATGTCTTGAAACCAGATATTGAATACAATAAAGCCTCACTTTAGTGCACCTTAGCAACTTGATTGACTGCATGTCACTTCTTAAAGAGGCAACAGTAAAAGCACCAACACAATAAAGCTGGTTATTAGTTTTCGAGCTTTCATTTTAAGCAATCATTGAGCAGTCACATGATTTTACTGACTCCAAGATGAAAGGCCAGTGAAACCATAAAAACATAAATACATGTGATTATAGGTACTAATGTGAGCCATAGAAGAAAAAAAAATACAGGAAGGTAGATTTTACACTTTGCCTTCTCAGGTCAACTGAATTGTCTGCTGTTACCGAGACCTTTGCTGAATGGGCAGTTCATACACCACTTACAACATTCATACCAGCAGAGTGAAACAAGGAAACGACACAAGACAGCATTAATTAAGCATCCTGATTGTCAAGAAGTTAGAGCCATTTACTGCTATTGTAGCCATGTCTAATTTCCAATCAAATTTCAACGTTCCCATAGAATATACAACCACACACTTTTCTTTCAATCAATATATCTGCAGATCAATTATACTCTTTCATTTATTGAAAGGCAAACCCCCTACGATGATGAAACATGAACAGGTGAATATTTGACAGTCATATTTTAGGATAATGCAGATGATGGTGATCAGTTGACGTAAATGGAGAAAAACTAGACTTGTGCTGAAGTGAACCAGTTTTACCTTGAGTTTCATTGTTGACCTTACACATCCTTCTTCAGCATATCCATTAACTGTACATTCCATTGCATGGTCAGCAAGCTGCAACAATAGTAAGATCCTTCTCATCAGTTTGATAGGAGTCGGCTTGGCCAAAACAGAAAGTCGCCATAATAGTTTGTCTTTGCCATCCATTGGATCCTGAAAGAGAGGATAGTGTTGTTGTTTACAACTGAAAAATAAGAACTTCATACCGCATACACATTTTATTATTTTATACACGCCATCTCCAACAGTATGTGAATCTGCAGCTATTAAACAGGCAAGTACAGACCAAACCAAACCTGGAATAATATCCAGCACCCTATTCAGAAATCATATTAATCATGCACATCCATTCATGCTAGCGTTAAGTCCTTAGACTGTAAATAACTTAGATACCGTCTCATTTGCATCACTATGCTTACTCTGTCGACTTTCAACTTCTCTTTAAACCAGCACAGAGGTGGAGTTTAAGCCTTAACAGAGCCTTCTAGCTCACAGTTAGCAACAACCCAACCACACATCAGTAAAATCAGCCTCAATGGTGATATAACATCAACTTCAATTTGGCTTTTGGAGCAAGCCTCAAGTGCACACTCAAGGTACTGCACTTTTTTAGACTTTCATGTAGGCTTTATTTTTTTAAACCCCAGAGATTTCCCCCTTGGGTAAATCATAAATCATTAAGTCCACTACTCACCCCTTAGAGCTTTACGATTATGTCCTATGATAGGGAGCTGTATCTGTAAAAGCAGTGCCCTATGTTGACAGACCTGTTAGACCTCATAATACACTTGATGGCAGGTAAACTTTACACCAGGAATACTTTTTATTGCCCCCCCCCAGTAAAAGCATTTTTATATTAGATGGCAGCAAAGAAAGAGAAACAGAGAAATTACTGGAATATGTTTGACCAGAGGGCTGGTAAATTGAATCTCTTGCATGCAATGAAACCCCTGGGTGAAGAGGGTGAATAAAAAACTCTGGTGCTCTATTCTTGAGCAACTACAAACAAGAAGCCCTTGAGCGAGTGGCCGAGCGGAGCTACTCAGAAAGCAGTGGAACAATAGGAGACATTTCACTTTTCAGCTGTGAGGCAAGATTGTAAGAACCAGTCCTGGTTATTTCTGGAGTCAACTGAGCTCAAGTCAAAGTTGTGCATTTTACGAAGAAATTTCAGATAAACATGTTTGTTAAAACTCTACAGTAAGAGCTTTGAAGAGTTAATTGCCATTTTGTCAGAATTGCCAAAAAAAATATTGATTTCTTGTTAGTGTATTACAGCCTTACTTGTCAATTAATGTTTCATATCTGTGAAAAGATTTCACAGCTGCTTTTGGGTAATGTATCCTTTTTAAATATTTTAATATTCAGAATTTCTTGAACGTCTGGCTGTAGCTAAGTGTAACCAGAGGACAACTTCATGTCCCCCTTTTCAGTCTTTTCACTTGTCTTTTGTTCCATCTGTCAGTGTGGATTTAGACTTGCTGGTAGGCCTTGGCTGAAATAGGCTTATCCCTTTTGAAGACTTACTGATGAACAAAAGCCCTTTAAAGCATCTAAAAGAATACTGCCACACCAAGTCTGACAATAAGTACTTACATGTTTCAGTTTACTTGTGTTCAAAGAATTCGATGAAGGTTAAACAAACAAGAAAGAAGGGAAGAAAAGAAAAAGACATGACAAAACATCTTTCAAACCTTCACAACTTAAAATAGAAAGAAAACCACATTAGATCTTTAGACCAAATTGAGACACTTGAGCTTTTCAGGCAATTAGACAAGTGATTGACATAAAAGAAGGTTCAATAATAGTGTGCAAGGCATATCAAAACCATTTTATGAAAATGAAAGAGTTACATCAAAGACTGTCAGAAAATTTGGTCTGGAGTCCTGCTGATTTTCTTTGTCCTGTCTGAATATGTCATGGCTAACAAGCCTTGGAGTGGATTAGGCACAGAGGATTGAGCAATTTGCAGACTTGAGTTTATTTTGCTGGATATTTCAGCTCTCAGAGCACCATATTCTCACAAGAGGGGAAATCTTATTAAAACAGCCCACATTTCCTATGGTGATATAATACCAAAGACATACATCCGTAACCATGTATCAAGTGGCGAAAGTACATTGTCAGATGTCTGCTGGCTTGAAAATATTCAAATTAATCTAAGCGTCCAGTCTGTCGCGGTTTTCTGTAGTCTGGTCATGGGATGCACATTCAATGGTCAAATCAAATGATGTGCTTCAGTTTTGATGAGAGGGAGGACACAACAAAACCAGTATGGCACTGTCATGAAAAACGATAACAGACATAATAGACTGATAAACAACACAATAGAAAGTTGCAGGTAATCATGGTTTTCATCCCAAAGCAGACATCAAACCTGCTGATTTACCTTGCTGTGTTCTTCTTGGTTTTGTTGTGCTGAATCGCAGACTACTCCCACTGCTTTTCTATGGATCGAGTATAGTCCTTCGTAGTCTGCAGTGAAGACTGCCGCCATCTTTAATCACAACAGAGTCCATCTGTCGATGGTTCTTCCCTTTCTACCCTCTCTTTCTCTGTTCCAGTCCCTCTGTTCCAGCCCTCCCTGTTTGTTGTGGGGGGTTCTTATTTTCTATCCAACATCAAACCACCATATCGACAGGCTCATGGGCAGCCCAGTAGGGAAGCGGCTTGAACAAGCTGCATTGGCTGTTGTCCTTTTCAAAGCCGCAGAATATCTGAGTACATTTAGTTTTCTTAAAATGATACGGAAAGCCTATCAAAATATTATTTCAGCTCCCAGGCCTTTGATTTCAACCATCCCGGCCTCAAAGCTTTTCCACGGCTGCCCTCGAATGAGTCTTTTCGAATTGATGGGATTTAGAGCCCTTTGATTGAGGCCACATCTGTGTAACCACTTAAACACTCTTTAACAAGTAAATTATCTTTATTTTAATCAACATATTAATATTATTTTACTAATTTCATGATTTTCCATCAAACAAAAACTTCAAGGATCTAATTTTGTAGATAATTACACCAATTCTTCAAACTCAACACCTGAAACTCAATTTGACTTCAGCAGTCCTGGACCACATTATTTAAGAACCTTTTTTTTTTTTTTTCATTAATGCATGTAATTTAAAGTGACACCTTTTTGTCCCTTTTGGACTCTTCTTGCATACAAAGCCTGAATGCAAAGACCTTTCTTGTTTATTGTCACTGTTTTGTTCCGCCAAACTCTTTCAGTGAACAATAAGAGGAATTGAATTTCAAAATGGTAGGTGCTCTCACCTTCCTCTCCTGCTGTGTGGCTCTCCGGATCTTGTTTCTGTGGTCCGCCATGACTGGGCGCCGTCCCCTGCTTGCCACCGTGTAATACTTTCTCATACTCATAAACCTGTTTCTGATTCTTACTTGTGTGTTACTGAAAGATGAGCATCTTTACTTTATATTGCAGCTTCAGCCGAGCGACCCTATTGGAGGAAAGAACGACCAGATGATTGTCTGCACAATCATATTGTAGCTATGGTAACAGACCCAACAGGCATGAGTGATGTGCCCCTAATTACTTCATACAAATAAGGTCAAAAAAAGAGGACAAATATAATCAGTTTGGTGCTCAACAAGATCTATTTTAATTATTTTAGTTGTGTATACTTTTTATTTTATCACATTTGATAGTTTAACAACCTAAATACATATAAAAACAATAATCAACAAAGAGAATTTTAAAGAAAGGGGAGAGATGATATTGCTTTTGTTATGTAGCTTCATCAGCTGCTTAGCTTTCAACTGGATTTCACACTTGCATGTCTGGCTGTGGCCAGGGTCAGATCCAGCAAACCCCTCTCACAATGGCCAATTTTCTCGTCACACTGCACCAGAAAGGTCCTGCTGTGTTGGCTGCCACTTGCATTTGTCTGGACTGTATAAATATATTAACACACATCATTTTCCAGGCTTTGATTGTGAACTTTTAGTATGAACATGTTATGAAGTAAATATCAAATTAGATGTCAAACAAATAAACAAATAGGCAAAATGAAGGGTAATCATATAAAAATTCTCTTCATTGTAGGATCATATTGTATGCTTTATAGCAATAGCTGTAAAGACATTATGGTTTGGTTTAATATTGTTGAAATCAAATTAAGTCAGCTGCATAGAAGGTGCTCGGCTCTATGTTGCAATGATGTAAAAGTACTTTAAAAGAAAAAAGAAAAGCAGGCAGCACTGGTTTCAAGTAGCTTATAATTCCCAGTAATTAGCTAATCATAATAAACAAAAAGATATTTCCTGAAGGAGTTGATAAATATTTGAAATAACTTTCTGAAACAATCAATAATAACTGAAATATTCAGATTACCCAACATTTTTAGCACCCTTCAGTGGTCCAAATTTTAAGAGTCTCACTTACAGGTGTACAGATGCATTGTTAAAAAATGTAAATTATTAAATATGGAGATAAGAGGTTTGCGTCATATCCCAATGCTGCCCAGCAGCAACATTATGTCATATAGGGAGCTTTTGTCTAAATAGCCAAGTGGCTGAGGTAAACAGTGAATAACAAGTTACAACAAAACATAGTCAAAGACTGATCTAGCATTTATGTTTGTGTTTTTTCTTTCATAGTAAAATACAGAGCCATTATTCTAGATGAATTTCTTTGTAGTGCTTCAGACTAGTTCAGATAGAGTGATATAAGGAGCATTCAACTATAACACTATCTTACAGAGAAGAAAGTGTACTTTACACATCAATTGAAATATGTCTGTAATACAGATTAAGATATACATGTCCACACACATTAAAAATTACTAAAATATAAAGGGAAGAGTTAGTGGGAATCACTGTAAAGTATCATGCAACAATGTTCAAATTATGCTAAATTAGCATCTTCCCCTTTAATTAATAAATTATGGTTCTAAGCCCACAGGGTTACACAAATTTTGTCAAGTTAACAATTACAAATTCTGCAGTGTGACAGCAAAACTTTCATCATGGGTATAAGAACAAGACCTGCTCTTGAGCAGAGTGTTTTCTGTAAACAATAAAGCTTGGTACACAACTGTGTGAGAAACTTTATTCTAATTGGTCAGTACTACATAGCAACAGTCTTATACTTCCTGATTGCGCATCATTGCTATGGATACAGCTCTAATTACAGGTTCATGTTGACTGAGTGTAATCAAACTGCCGACACCAGTAAAATGTATGTTTGTTTGTTCACAGTGGAGAAAAAAAAAGAGATAGATTCAGCTGATAAAAGGAAGTATAGGTTAAAGACACCTATGATGGGGTGCTGATGGGCTAGTGGTCTGGGCACCCCACGTGCGGAAGCCGTGCCTGCTAGTTTGAATCCCAAGCACAACCCTTTTCTGCTCGTCTCCCCCTGCCTCCTGCTTTCCACGTTTCCTGTCTGAAAGGCAAAAATTCCCAAAAACAAAACTTAGAAAAAGAAAAAAAAAACAAAAACATGAACAACACACCGCAAATAAATCAACAAGATGTGCAAGAAGTAAACACCAAACAGAACCTAGTTTGGGGTATGGTGATGACCCCTGAGACCCAGTGGCAAGGTTGAAAACTCAACCAGGTGTGGCACTGATTCATCTGATTCTGTTCTGTTTTCTGTTTTACTCCACTGCAGCATCCAGATAAACACAAGATTCAGAGACAGCCACACTACCACTGTCACTCATACTAAAACATAATCACTGTCATGCTATACTGAACAATTAATCACCACTTTGCCATGATTGTATTTACATTGTTATTTATTAATTCTGACTTATTTATTCCTCAAAGAAACTTCCTACACCATCACGTTTTTGCCCTACTTTTATAGTTTGCTACCTCACTTATTCTGGTTTATTCGTTCATTTAAACAACGTGTAACATCTACAGAACAGCTGCAGTACATAGTGTACTCATACACAAAAAAAGTCCATATCTCATATCTACTTGAACTACACATGCGCTGGACCTTGCAACCCTGAAATCCTGAAAGTGGGAACAGGATCCTAATGGAGTCTCACTACACATCCTGACACAGATGTCAGATAAAATCAAATCAAATCACAGAGTGCAGCACACTTGACCTCTGCCTGATGTAACAAAACATTAGTTTCCATTTGAACTCTAAATAGGTACACACTGTGGCAAAAACATTGGTTTCCATCTCAGGCTGGTTGCAACAGTTGCAGCAAGCTCAAGCTGTGAAAACAATGTCACAACTGTCTTTTTTATGTATACAGATGCATCAGCTGATAAGCTGGCAGAGAGACAGTTAAATGAGGTCACAAATGTCAACAAAAAGATTCCTGCTAAAGTGCCTCAAACTGTATCTAGTATACTTTCAGTTTGATGAAATTTGTAAGTTCCCCTTTCGCTTCAGAGTCCTGCTTATCTTGTCCAGATACTAATTCACATGACCGCCCATTCACTATATATTATTACCTAAGTCTGCTTTTCAATTTTTTTTTTTTTCTAGTTTGAATTTGAACTAAAATCAGCATATTTGTTTTAAAATAAGCAAGCTAACTCCAAAATTACCCATTGAAAATACTTAATGTTGTTTTTTTTTTTTATTGTGGGATTGTATATTTGCTGTTAAAGCTCACTTACAGAATCAATCTGATCTTACAACTGCCTTGGGATAAAACTCTTCACCTGATATCACATTGCAGAGTCCTTGAGACTAGATTCAATGGAGGTATCTAAAATACAAAGGACTTAAATAAAAAATCAAAGCTGCCTAAGCAATCCTACATGGCTAGTTCAGTAACTCATTTGCCAGTTAGATATTGGAGTTTTGAAAAAGAAAATATACCTCAGTTGGATTTGTCTTTGCATAACAAAAGGGCGAGCTCTACAGAAAAAAAAAAAAAAGAAATCATGACTATCATACAAAAGATGTTTTCCCAGAATCAGGACACATGAGTATTCTTACACAAGCAGAGCAAAAATAAGATGACTTTTCAAAGCAATACTCTGATAAATTATTAAATAGATCGGTGCAGTGATACTTGTTATTCTCTCAGGGAGCGAGCTGCTTGGTGTTTCCCACATGAACAAGAATGCCCCAGATCCATGTGATCTCTGACTGGAACATATTATATATCAGGTTATAATGTTTCATGGCTTTATGATAGAAAAGCAAAAGGCTAAAAACAATCATTTCCATGTAACATCATAAAATAAGCCCCTCCTTTAGGTCCACTCAAGAAAGTGTATTGTATGTATTTTCAGAGCTCCATGAACTTGCTTTCACGGCTTTTTGTTTAATACAAACTTATGGGGAAAGACAAAGATAAATCTTGAATTTGAGAGCAAACACACATTTCTGTTTCCAAGAAGGATTACAGATCAGTATCATACTCTCAATAAAACCTTGGGACCTGCAGATTCCGATAAATGATCTTTGCTTACTTTAGGTAAGTAATATGTCTTCAGATCCATATGCAAAGATGATCAAGAAATAAAAGTGAAAGATATGAAACAATAAAGGAAAGTGATAACAAAATGTCAACATGCTCTGAATCTGTTCTCCCTATGTGGTTTATCAGAGGGACCCAATTTTTCAGTCTCTGTTTAATTTGTCATAAGCAGGTCAAGGTGAACACCCCACATCTTTGATTTTCCCTGCTAACTAATTCCCAGTGGAAATGAATCTTATTCATTTTTCACACAGCCTCGAGGATATCTGATCCGAAAAAGGAGGGAATGGCACCCTGC